ACTGAACAGAAGCACCCTGTAAAAGATGTATAATACTTACCTTTCTGGTGGGTGGATACTCCAGTCTTTGCTGTTCTGCAGAGCTACAGGTGCCACTGTTGACTAACACTTCCCAGCTAGTATGTTACTTCTGTGACCTGTTGTGATGCTGTAGGCAACCGGTCTAACCATGCAGCAGAGGACGTGCTATCCAACACACCAAAAAGTAGCTGCAGTGCTAAAGCTCTAGCAGAAAGCTAAGATTTTCTCACTGCCAGCTGGACAGCTTATTTACAGGTTGCCTCTTATTTACTCTTTGTATGATGGGAACAGGGTCACTTTAAGGCAGAGTGGTGTCTGCTGCATGCCCCTAAAGTTCATTCCACAATTTAAAAGTGTGTACACCATACAGGCACAGCATTATGGCAATCCTTGTATGTCATCCTTCTGTGAAGCAGGATCTGTGCTTCCCCTCGTTGCTACATCACTTCCTATGCCAACTACTGAGTCCACAGTATCCAGCAGATGACTTAACTCCTGTGCATGCACATGGGAGTAAAATCATCCCGGTACCTGGCTCTTATTTCCAGCATCGTACATTGGACTGCACATGCACCTCAGCCAGTGTAAAGTTTCATCAAAAATCATCTTACATACAGGGTCTTTTCTGGTATCAATCTGTACCTGCTAACAATTCTTCAAAATATCATTTTAGTTCTGCTTAAAGATTATTTGCTTGAAGCTGATCTGTTACATGTTTAGTATCTACAGTACAGCATCAACAAAATCATTGAAACAACTATACATTTCCATTACTGCTGTAGGAGGATTATGATATATAGCTTTTCAGAAAGGACACTTGTCATGAGGGATAAAGATGGGAGTACAAAAGAAAAAAACAGATGTCTCTTAGTGGGTCCACTGATCCCTGCAGTCTTTCTAGATGGCTTAGCTGTACAGTCTGTATAATTCAACTGGCAAATGCTCCAAGAAATCTATAGAAAACAAATGGGTAATTTAATATGCTCCTGTGCTGACATTTGCACCAGTATCTGCCAGAATAATCCAGTGCAAAGAACTATCTGCCTTGCTGGCAGAAAATAGCTGACTAGTCTTATTATTGAAAGCTTTCCTGTATTACATGAGCCTGCAAGTTAATGAAACAGGTTTGGGCAAGGTCTTGCTTGGAGTTATGTGCTAAAGAGATGTATGGGGCTGTTAATTGGCTTAGACTGGGCAATAGTCTTTCCTCAAATGGACGCAGTATACTGTTTATAATGTGAAATTGTATGATCGCATGTTGTGACACGCGTGCATTAGCTCTCAGAGCTATTTAATTTTAAGGTCTACACCCTAAAATAGAATGATTTTAGACAAAACTATATATATCTCCATAGCTAGTTCTAATATACTGTAGCATGCCTTTTATTTTGTTTAAAGTAATACTCTCAAAGAAATATGAGGCTTGTCGTTGCTGACCTCCTTCTTGAATTGCTTATGTTGCCTGGCTGTCATAAAAGTAAGCCTGAAATTGTTGCTTTTCCTGCTCCAGGCTCCATCTTGAGAGATCATGTGGCTAAAGACTTAGGAATTTGGTCATATGATTAGCACTGGAGGGAGCTTGGAGCAGCATTTGCTCCAGGAAAGGTAACTATATAATCCCTTCTAATATTCTTTATCATTCCCAGCAGGTTTGTTAATGTAGCCCTGTGTTAAATTTTGAAACAAGTCTGTTTTTGGTAGCTTTCAATTTAGTTTTTGTTGTGCACATACAGGGCCTAATGGCATTCACCAATGGGTGATGGACACTTTTTTGACCATTGGAAACACACCATCCGATGTTCCTGGTGAGACATCTGCCCATTATGATCTGTTTGACTTGGGAAGGATTGTACAGGATTCTTGTTTGTCGCTATTGATTAGGTTGAAACACAGTCCTCCTTGTCCCACTAACCACTCGGCCTAAAGCTGGCCATACAGTGTTAGATTTTTTTTTCATTCAGCCTGCAGGTTGAAAGAAAAAAATATAACAGACTCCTCTATCAACGCTAAACACTGCAGATGGATGATTCTCCCGCTGGGCTATTGTATTCTGACAGTGGCAGGTGTGCTGCCAACATTGTTTGCCATAAAACCTTCTGACCGGCTATTTAATTTTCTTATCAAAGGATGCTGGACAGAAGGGTTCCGACAGGGACACCAACTAAATTAATTTTGGCTGGTCCATCAAGGATTAGCCTAAAGTCATAGAGTATATGGACTGCTTTAGAGGTGCACCGAAATGGAAATTTTAAAACCGAAACGAAACCGAAATAAAAAAAAAATGTCAGGCTGAAACCGATACCGAAAATGTTTTTTATTTTTTCAATTTTTAAAACTACTTTATTTTTTATAAACTTTTTAATTTTTTAATATTCATTTTTATTCATTTTTTATTAAATATTTTTTACTTTACTTTTAGGGGCTTCGGGGAAATATTAGGGGTCTAAACAGCCCCCTGATATTTCCCTTTTAAAATAAAAAAAGAGATTGAGAACACAGAGTCCTCAATCTCTTTTTCTGTGTCCCCTGTTATCAATGAACAGGAATCCTCTGAATGTTCCTGTTCATTGATAACATGAGAACATTTGTTTGTTTACTATAACTACAATTATGAATGAATGGGGGTGATGTAGATCACTCCCATTCATTCATAATTGAGGATATAGTTAACATACCATATTCTCAATTATGTACACACACTCAGCGATCACTGAGTGTGTGTACCTTGCTTTTCTCTCTGACACGCTGTCACAGGAGGCTGATCGAGCGGTGTAGAGAGGAAAGCCCAGCCTCCTTTGACAGCGCTGTCTCTGCCCCCACACCGCTCTGCCGGACTGTGATGGGCGGCAGAGCGGTGTGGGAGGAGAGACGCCGGCCGCTTACAGCGCTCTCATCCTGCAGCGCTCGGCCGGCTGTCACTTTCTTTTCTCCACGCTGGAACAGCGCCCAGCGAGGAGAAAAGAAACCAGGGATGCGCCGATGTATCAGCCGAAACATGGCTCTTTCGGCATTATGCCAAAAGTGCCATTTTCGGCCGATATGTTTTCGGCGCCGATATATCGGTGCATCCCTAGACTGCTTTACTCTTCTCGGTTTAAGAACCTTTTTTCATTTTCTGCATTTGATACTTTTGGGTGTGTTTGGCATCCCCCCACTGCATTCTGGGTTTGCTCTACTAGCCCCTATGTTACTACGGGATACAGAACCCTGCAGAAGGAACCACAGTTAGTTGCTCGTTTTTGTCTGGGGGGGTTCAAGCATTGATGGTTGGCACTCACCTACCTCCCCTCTGCTCTAGCTGTAGAATGTTCCTTGGCGTCCTCACATATAATGCCAGGGCTATGGACCCTGCAATAGACTTGATGACGGCTGTGGGTCTCAGACCACTCGAGTGCAGTGGGGAAGAGGCTGGGGGCGCTGGTCTTCGAGCCAGCAGGAATGGAGTATCAGGTTTGTAAACCTGCAGTGAGAAGTGTGGAATCCAATCTTCTCTTGTGCATACTATAGTATGTCTTTTTATAGAGCCAGGTGCAAATGAAGAGGTACTGTATATGTAACAGGAGTACCTAATATAATTAATATACCGTATTTTGTCTTTTATATATCGGTATGGTATTCAGCTTTAAACAATAGTTTCTGTAAATGTTTAGAGGTCAGAATTACAAGAGACAATGTTAAAGTGCACCTTTACCCCCCCTTTTACTAAAAATCACATCGGCATACACCTCTGCATTCTGATCTGAAATCATCTCACATTCATTATCTAAACAAACATTTTTATTTTACTCACAATTTATTTTTTCCCACCTTCTGGTCCACTTTGGCACAAATGATGTAATCGTGCCCAACCACTGTATCCTGGGAATGTTACATCAGCAGAACATTGCTGGAAAAACTCATCTGTAATCTCATGGGATCTGCATTTTCCTCCCCTTAGATGCTGTGCATTGTCACATGTCCTAGTCACATGTGCCAGAGTTCCAGGAAGTAAAGGGAGAGGAATTAATCTGCCCTTAGTAAAAATGGCTACTGTCAGAAGAATGTGAGGGCCGAGTCAAATAAGGCATGCAAAAAATAGAAAGCCTGCAATTATCTAGAAGTAGATTGTCATTACTAAACATTTGTAAAGCTGTGTGTTTGGTTTTCTTTTAAAGGTATATGGGTAAAATTCTTTTTTAATGTTGGTCTTTTCTGTTCATTATTAGGCTAACTTTTTTTTTATTGCCAAGCTAAAAATAAATGGCAACCACACAATTTATAACTAGCCTTGATAGCAAGGTGCACATGGAAGGGCTTACAACAATACAAAACACATAAGTTTCCCAGCACACTTACCCACTAGCCTGCAACAAAATAAATGACACTGTCTAATAGTATGCGTTAAAAACACCGGTTTTAGTTGCACAATTTTTGCAAAATATGTGGAAGCCGCACAGCCTTGTCAAGGCCTCTCTTTGTAGTGTGGTCCTAACCTTTTATTGCCGCAGCTCACTTGTAAGTCTTTAATCCCCTGTAAAACATTATACAGCTATGGTTTTTATAGAAAGTGTTAACTGTATGTTTAACAGAACATATAGACATACAATTTCCTAATTGAAATACAAAGTGCTCATCCTTTGAAAGATTATTCTGTTTGTTTGAACATGAGAAGCCAAAATTGCACGTATTTATGTAGATGGTTTTTAACAGAATCAAGGAAATTATTTGGCAAGACACACTGTACTGCTTTTTAAAATTGTTTATTATTATACACTGTAGATTAAAGTGTTTAGAATAGAACAATATTGTATATCTGCAGTGTTTATGAGAAATGTTATATACACACGGCATTTATTTACATTGCTACAAGTAACATGATTTAAGTGTATTCAGGTTAGAGCCAATGCATTGCTCAGAATTTGCATGTTGAATAATAAATACTGTCATCTTTACATTGCATTGATGGATTGCTGGTCTTCCCTGTTCTTTCCTTCTCCCAGGCTTTGGAAGAGGCTCAGAAAGCCATACAGCAGCTCTTTGGCAAGATCAAAGACATCAAAGACAAAGCTGAGAAGTCTGAACAAATGGTAATTAAACTTAGGATCGCACTGTGGCCTCCAAGGCAAATAGTGTTCTTGTTCTGATATGTCTATGTATCACTGTAAAGTGACTGTCTTGTTCAATAGGTTATTTTTTTGTTCAACATTAGTACAAGTAGTAGTATAGTCGCTAGTACTATATCGCTTCTCGGCCTTTTGGCTAAGATCAAGTGTAGTATCTGTTCTTATCAGTCAAAGATGCACAGGTAGCCAATTGCCTGTGTAATTGTCTGAGTACTGGAGGAGGCTGCGGACCCCGGGTTAACGACTCTTCGTTAATGGGTGCGCTTGGTGTCGAGCCTCTGTAAGGTGCTCTAGACTCCTGATAATGGGCAGATCCGAAACTTGATCGAGGCTGGAGGGCTGGGGGCGGCAGAAGCCCGTGGTGTTGTGCCCCCTGGGGGTGGCGTCCCAGGGGTGCTCAGGAAGTCACAGGGGTTAGGGTCCTACCCTCACTGACTCACTGATGCACTTGGTCACACACCACATTGCATTTTTTCTGCACAACGCCTCTTGGACAGGCCTTATGGCTAGTCCGGGGCAATTTTTTTGCACCCGGCCCCTAGGGCCTGTCAGCGTGGTGCACTGGCACTTTATTATTTAAGCACTCTATGCACGACACGATTGGCCTTTTTTTTGGCATTGACCCACAGATGCTGATGGTGCAGGTTTCTTCGGGGCCTATTCCTGACGCTGGGAGGAGATTCTGTGCCTCTTACGGGGTTCTCTGTCTCCTCCCACCCAGGAGGTGGGTCTCTCTTCGGGAGAGCCCACCTGCCAAGTACTGTGAGGGACCTGTTTCGGCAGGTCCCCAAAGGAAAGGTCCACCGGCCTTCGGGTTGGTGGACCATAGTATCTCAACCCCTGTCAGGAGCCTTGCGCCCCGGGGGGTCGGGAAATGGGTCCCTTCTTAGGAAGGACCTTGCACCCTTGTGCACGTTTTTTGTGTGCTGTGATTTCACGGTTCACTTTTTTTGTTCACAGGGGGAAGTTTGTTTAGACGCACGTTCCACGGGCTTAAAAAAAAAAAAAAAAAACAAGTAGTAGTATAGTACAGTAGAAGGTTGAGTAGTTTTTTCAGTAATTAAAAATATATACAGTATTGTGAAAAAATGAAACGAAGAATGTTTTCTGAAATAAAACTGTTGATAGTTTATTTTTATCAATTAACAAAATGGAAAGTAAATGAACAGAAGAGAAATCCAAACCAATTCAATGTTCGGCGTGAGCACCCTTTGCCTTCAAAACAGCATTAATTCTTCTAGGTACGCTTGCACACAGTTTTCAAAGGAACTCGTCAGGTAGGTTGTTCCAAACATCTTGGAGAACTAACCACAGATCTTCTGTGGATGTAGGGTGCCTCAAATCCTTTGGTCTCTTCATGTAATCCCAGACAGACTCAATGATGTTGAGATCATGGCTCTGAGGGGGAAAAACGATCACTTCCAGGACTCCTTGTTCTTCCTTACACCAAAAATAGTTCTTAATGACATTGGCTGTATGTTTTGGGTTGTTGTCCTGCTGCAGAATAAATTTGTGGCTAATCACACGCCTCCCTGATGGTATGGCATGATGGATAAGTATCTGCTTGTATTTCTCAGCATTGAGGACTTTAATGCATTTTGAAGTCCAGCCATCCTTCCCCAGCTCTCCTAACTGAAATTCTATACCTCAGTATGGAACTCTGCCTGGGAGATAATGTGTGCAGAAGCCTGAGCTTTGCAGCTGTGATCATATGATCACAGCTGCAATGTTTTCCAGCCTTGAATGCAAACATTAAAGAAAAACATTTTTTTTTTGTATGATTAAATATGCATTTCTTTAATTTTTGCAAAAGGTGACCTTAACCTTAAACTGTCTAAGGGTCAAAGCAATATATCTTATGTGCTTATTCTTTAAATTGCGAATAAGCATCAACTCACAGGTAAACTTGTCCCAGGACACTCCCTGCTATAAGTGTGCCTGCATAACGTATTTACTAGTTTTTATAGTTCCTGCTGATTGGCTCTCAGTGCAGATACACACATTGTCAAATGTTTTATTAAGATTCATATCCGATAATTACAGGATACTACCCATTTTAAAGCTGAACTAAACTCAATTATTTTAATGCTTCCTAAAACAGCTAAAGTCAAGGGATGCCTCTGGCGACAATTGTCACAGTTGCCAGTGTTTTTATGTCGTCTGTCAACCGAATTTTCAAACCCTCAAATGGCTAGTGTCCTATCTGGTCATGTACAGTACCATTGCAACTGCATCTAAATAAGAGGCTGAGATGGTGTTGGCTTTGAATGTAAATGATAGGATGTTTTCGTTCCACTTTAACATTTATTCATTGGTTTTATTTAATAGACATGTGCACTAATGAGTGCTATACCTTTTTAAGCTGAAGTTCCACTTTTAGGAAAACAAAGGTAAATGTATTCAAAGGAGAACTATGAGGTGAGTGAAAATCACTCATCCTCATATTTCGGGCCGACGTGTGACAATGAAACTGTCACATGTCGGCTCAATAGATCGGGAAGTGAGCGTACGCATACCGTCCCTCTCTCACTTGTCGATACAGCTGGCTCTGCATCTAGATAGGCAGAGCCAGCTGTCATTCACACAGCTGGGTGGATCTCGACAGCATTGTCGGGATCCGTCCCAGCTGTGGCGGTCTCAGTATATCACGAGCTGTAGCTCACGATATACTGAGCTTTGGGTCATGGGAGGATGCTAGTATATGTCCTCCCGTGACCCTTAAGAGAACTATGGGGAAAACCACTTACCCCATAGTTCTCTTTTAAAGAGATCATGTCTTGTGCTTTTTAGTTTGACTTCCAGTGATGGCAGCAGCAGGTTAGCGGACCTAGGAAATGTACTGCTAGACTCGCTGACTCAAAGAATCTACAACTTCTGTCCAATAAAAATACATGTAAAAAAGAATGAAAATCTTAAGTCCAAAGGAATGGCCAGTAAAAATAGTCATATTTTGTTTTTGCAAAGAACATCTGTTTTTGAATATCATTAATGACTTCATAAATGAACTATCATGACTGTATTTCCTATTGCAAGTGTAATCATCTAGCGGGGCTTAAATGCATGGAACCAATTATGTAAAGTTAAGGTACAGCTTGGAATGTGGTACTTGTCACATCCCCTAAAGAGCATGTATATTTCCCTAGGGCATTATCACCTTTTTTACAGTATGCCATAACTGATGATTGCTTAGACATATTGAAACAAAAATTGATTTTCAAATTCTTTGCCTCAAACATTCCATCACTAACCTGCCTTCTATGATTCTATCAAGGTGAAAGAAATCACACGGGATATTAAACAGCTAGACCATGCTAAGCGCCATCTGACCACATCAATTACAACCCTTAACCATCTACACATGCTGGCTGGAGGAGTTGATTCTCTGGAGTAAGTCTGTCACCTCTCATGACATCATCAGTAAATTTATTACCAATAAGCAAGGGTCAGGTCTTGGTGATACAAATATGCAGTTCAATGGCTTCAGTATTTGTAGCAAAAAAAACCTATAACTACCACATTTTACCATTGGTATAGGTTGGACTCGATGGTGTCTTTTTTCAACCTGACTAACTACCGTGTTTCCCCGAAAATAAGACACTGTCTTATATTTCTTTTGGCTCAAAAAAACACACTAGGTCTTATTTTCAGGGTAGGTCTTATTTATTTATTTTTTAATGTACAATCCACACTTATTCATATACAAAAATATGGTGATCAGGGGTGCCGTACCTTTCCAAGAGCAATTTGCTAGCCAATCGCTGGCCAGAATGAGCGAAGCGCGCTTTCACTATGGATTCCTCACAGGCGGAGTGCATTTGGTATCACCCCGCCTGTGACAGCAGCCGGCGCTATAGAGGAGGCATCGGCTTATGCGGCTCTGCTCCCTCCACTGCCGCCTCGCTTCCTCTAGCGCTGGCTTCGTTGGCCGATTCTCTACCGCGGCTCTTCAAGTTCCCCCTTATGCCACCACGGGCCCTGGGAATGGTCATAACTAGGTCTTATTTTCGGGGTAGGTCTTATATTTTAGCAATTCCCAAAAATAGTACTAGGTCTTATTTTCAGGGTAGGTCTTATATTTTAGCAATTCCCAAAAATAGTACTAGGTCTTATTTTCAGGGTAGGTCTTATTTTCGAGGAAACAGGGTATGTAACCAAACAATGTGCCTTTTGACATTCAACAGTAAGTAGCTTATGTATTTCTGCAGGTAAATTTTTTGACCATGGCTGTCCTGACCTCTCACCAAGATCATTAAGCAAATGTAAACCCTATTCTGTTTCCTGGTCTCACTACTTTTTATATTTGCTTTGACAAAAGGAAGATGTGAAGTCTGCAATACAGGTTGGAACATGCTTTCTCTCTTTGCAGCATTGGTCCTAAGAGATAGGAGTCTTTCTGATTTGGTTATTGCTATGTTCCTTAAGGCTAGGAAATTCATACTATCGGACTTTGATAGGGTCCTTTGCCTGGTGTAATGGAGCTATATTTCATCCCAGGAAATACTCCATGGGACGCATCCTGACCCTTTTCCAGTCTCATCAGGATTAACCTTTAACCCAGAGTACCTTCAAGGGACAGGTTCTTGGCACCAGTAAATCGTTTTTGTTTTGTGAATGTTAACGTCAATGAAAAGCTAATATTACCAGCATTGCTGAACTCATAGTAAATGGAGCATAGAAGTACTTTTTTATTTAAAGTGTAACTCCAGCCAAAACCTTTTTTTTTTTCTTACATTTTCCTTTTTTTTTCTCCCTGTTGCACAATGTTAATAGAGAAAATAGAAGTGTAGTTTCCTGTAGACTTTTTTGTTTCGTTTTGTAATTTTTTCATGAAAACCGAAATCTGCTAAAGTGTTTGTTTTTTGTTTTTTTTGATGATTTAACAGCATTGTTACCTAGGTTTGAGAATTAATCTCTGTTATATAATTCTGCAGAGCAATGACAAGAAAAAGGCAGTATGGGGAAGTTGCCAACCTGCTGCAAGGGGTGGTGAATGTCCTGGAGCACTTTCAGAAGTATATGGGTATTCCTCAGATTCGGCAGCTATCAGAAAGGTGAGAGAGGACTTGGTTAAATAGAATGAATGTGCACCAAAACAAAAGGTATTTCAAATCTTACAGTTTTGTTTCTTTAGAAAGCAAAACCAGAATGAGTAGAAAAGCCTGTCCCATGCCAGCATGATGCAGAGAAGGACCCTTTTATTACCGTGTGCAAGCAGTGGCATTCTGGAGTGGTCCAACAGGCCAACAGCTGAGTTAGAACTATAGTTCTGCAATCAGCAAATCTAAAACTCCCTGCTTATTAGAGAGCTCTAGCTCTGAGTCAGCTAGAGGCATGCAGGACCTCTGCAGAAAAATATGCACCTAAAATATATTTACCTATTTTAAACCGAACATTCAGTTGGGCTTTTAATACTCCTCTTGTGAGTAGAACCACAGAGTTTTCTTGAAGCCCGCTGGCCATGTTGGAAGATTTAGTCAATAGCTTATCATTCCAATATAAGGCTGGGCACACACCTTACAACCATCGCAAGACTTTTGTCTTGCGATGGTTGTAAGGTACTTAAAAAAACGTACGATCTGCCTATCTTGCATAGGCAGATCGTACTTGCGATGATCGCAAGCCACGCCCCCTGAGGGGCGGGCTTACGATGACCGCAATGCCGAACGGGCAGTGTGCGCTTGCGCACACCGGCCCATACGGCTTTTATCCACAAACATGCCACAAACATGTCCGTAAGTTTAAAGTCGTGCGACCTTACAGTAGTAGAGCAAAACAAACGACAAACGCACTCAACAATTTGTTACCAGTTATACAGTAAGGTGCCCACGTGTATCCAAAGCTCTGTCATTGTCCTTAGTGGTGAGACAAGTTGTTTTACATGCTGGTTTGTGAGTGTGCCATGATGCCTTTCTACTGTTCTTACAGTAGTAGAGGTCGCACGGCTTCACACACCTTACGATAATCGTACGATCGCGGGATTTCCCGCGATTATCGTAAGGTGTGTGGGGACCTTAAGATGGGTATCATGTAAGCATGCACAGTTGTAGCAAAGACACATGCACAGCTATACTGGGATCTATAAGAATTTTCAGTGATCAGATAACTTTTAAATGTCCTGAGTACATTGCTGCTTCCTCCATTGTAATGGGGATAATTGCATACATAATGATTTTTTATTAAACCTTTTCTTGCAAGCATGTTCTCTAGCTTACATCCGTTTCATTTTGGTAAATGTATAGCTTATTAGATTTCATTTTGGTTGAACAATGTTATTTTTGCATTGTCCATTTATAGAACATTTCCATTATGCGCCCACGTCTCCATGTAATCTGTGGAAACATTTGGAGATGCAGCACTAGTAGAGCAGGCACTGATCAATGGAGGATTGATGGGAATTCAGATGGCATCTCTTGTTTCAAATGTCAATGGAGACCATGATGGATTGTTTAACTCTGATATTTTTAGTTGTGTCTTTGTGAAGCCTCTATCCTGATGTTTATGTTTTGATAACCGCTCCATCTGGTTGTGATAAGAATCATGATTTGCACGGAAATGAAAGGCACACCCTGCACATTGCTTACATCTCCAGTGTTCAGAATAAGGAAATACAGCTTGTTAAAGCCAGAATAAATAGACCTTAGGGCTGTTGCTTCTCATTTCCCTCACTGACCACAGTTAAAAATTGGTTATTGTCCTGTTTATGAATACACTCTCATTTAATGTCACACGTATTTAACACTTCATATTCTAGCTGCAATCCATTAGATTTAGCCCAATGATAATTTTGAGGTTTTATATACTGTATGTTGATATTAATGTCATGAGGATAATGCAACCTTTTTCATTTAAGTTTCAATTTAAATTCAAAACCGCAACATTCCCCCATTATGAATGATATTTAAAATCGTTGTCACAATACCATGTTACATTTATTTCTTAGGTTAACATTTCTAAAGCCAACAAATTAAATAAGTGATCTTGGTGTGCATGTTATCATGTTGTGTAGCATTTAAATGTGTTTGATATGTAGACTGTTCTATTTAAGATTCATGAAAATATATACTCAAAAAAATGCAGGAGCTTCCATTTCTGGCCATCTAAAATTGTTATGAGGAGTGTTCGTTTTCTAAACCACTAACCCTGAAACATTCAGCAAGTGAAGTCAAAACTCCACAACTACATATTTAATGTCCTGTAAAGACTTCTAAAGTTATTAGGTAAAAAAAAATTAAGTTATTTCAAATGAAGTCACTTACAATGGATGATGCTAATTAATGTTTAAAAGTTTTAGCTTTCTGCAGAATCTGCGGGTCCCCTGAGCACTGGACTTGCCAGCGCAGTTACAGCAGTACAAGCCACTCACTCTCCACTCCCTTCCTTCGCCCTCCTTTCTTCCTTCTCCCTCCTCCATCCTCCATTATCCAAGCTAGTAGATGGACAGATGCTGTAGACTGTGCTGTCCCTTATGATCTTTTACTGGACATGAAGTTCAGGGAAGCTGAGATGAGAGAGTTGGAGCCAGTTGTAAAGAAACATAATGACTGTAAGTGCTTGGACCAAAGTGTAAATACATACTGTACATCGCTAGGCAATGTAAATTTATTTGATCTGGATACATTACTGAAAAACAGTTTGAGAGTTTAATACTGCTGTCAGACAACAGTGTCGGCAACACTTCATTCAACACAAGTCAATTTTCATTCAACGTTTGTCCTAAAATTCTCCACCAAACAGTGACTGCAGCCACTAATTATGTATTCTGACAGAGATGGGTGCCTGCTGACAGAATACAATAGCAGCAGCTGGAGATCTGTCGATCTGCTCTTTTAGCCCGCAGGAAAAATCTAACCGTGTATGGTCAGCTTTAGTTTTGACCATACAAAACTAAAGCTGAGTTTACAGGGCATTGACAAATTGCTCCATAGCACCAAAATCCAAGGTACTGGCAGCAGGCTGTACAGTTGGAATGGTGTACCCTGTGTCAGAGCAGCAGTTCCACATGCTGAATCAGCTGAGGTTCCACACAAAGCACAGTTTATGCTCCCTGCTGATTGGAGAGTGCCAGCTGTCACTCAGCAGGGACGATGTGGGACTGCTGCTCTGACACAGGATACATTGTTCTGACTCAATAGCCTGCTTCCTCTTCTTTGAATGTTGGATTGGTACTAAATACAGTAGGAAACTTACATTTCACAATGCACAGAAAGATTAAATGCAGCTATCTGATTTTTCTTTAAGCTTCAGTTGGGCTTTGATACTTTTGGCGCTTTGGTTAATTCTGCTGTGCGCTGTCATTCCTCTTTTTTAATCGCACCACAATTCACATCAATTGATGCAGGCATCCAACACTTGCCACCTACCAGCCATGTGAGTATTATAAGTCGTCTAATGCAGGGACATTTAAAAAAAAATGTTTTTGGAGTGACAGAGTTGCTTTAAACTAGCATGGCACTAGCACTATCAAACTCAGAGGTCAGTAGTGACAACCTTTGCATTTCTTTTAGCACAGGTTTTTTTTAACTCAGTCCTACATCAGCAGTTCTAGAGGAGAAGAGCTTTGAATTGAAATGGTGTATGTGACCATGTAAATTAACATGGCAGACGTGGACAGATTTGTTGGTACCTCTAGAAAAAATTATAAATAATTGGATAATAGTGCTAATGCGTCTGACATGGGGTGCCTTGAATCTGTGCAGGGCACAATTAAATCTCACGGCTATCAAGGAATTGTAGACTGAAACGTACTGCCCAGCGTCGGAAAACTCTGACCCAAAACACTATTCTGAAATGACTTTCTATGAACCGCGATTTGAATCCTTTTGGACATCTATGGAAAGAGCTGAAACATGCAGTCTGGAGAAGTCACCCTTCAGAACTGAGGCATCTGGATCAGTCTGCTCATGAAGAGTGGACCAAACTACCTATTAGCAGATGCAGAAGTCTCACAGAGAGTTACAGAATTTGCTTGTTTGCAGTTATTAACTCTAAAGTTGTGCAACAAAGCATTGGGTTAAGGGTACTATGATTTTTGTCCATGCCCTGTTTTTTTTTAAATCTGTTTTTGTATTTAAAATATTCTTTAAAAATCGGAAGCAAAGTGTGTATATATAAAAACAGTGAACACTCAAGTTATTTCAGAGAGAAAAATGTGGGTTCTTTTTTTTTTCATATCGATGGGTATGGACATATTTAACATAAGGCTGCAACTAATGATTATTTTCATAATCGATTAGTTGGCCGATAATTTTTTCGATGGGATAAAAAAAAAATTAAATACCATCCCTAATTTAAAATAAAATACACAAATGCAGTGTTACAAACATAAATTTTACTGCAGAAAAAAACTGGATGGACAATTTTTTGCAATCGCACTGCACTGGAAATTCACGGCATTGGCGTACCGTGGGTGGGAGGCGCGTTTGGGGCGCCATTGGCACTGCAACACACCTCATGCAGCAGAACTTGTCAGGTCAAAACCAAAAATTACTTTTTTCACAATTTTTTTCATACATTTTATTTTTAATAATTGTAATGTAAGCACATGGTGCTTAAATAGCTTTAGCCAGGAAATAACAGCTGCCAGCAAGATTCCGCAGACGCCAGCTAAATGTACATACAGCAGGTAGTGGGCTGGTGCAATAGCCAGTCTGCTATTGGCCATTTCAAATTGCAATAGCCAATAGCAGGCTGGCTATTGCACTTGCCCACTGCTTGCTGTGCCCTCCTCCCAGCGTGGAGGAGAGAGCTAGTGGATCCAAACAACTATTCGATAATGAAAATAGTTGACAACTATTCTCATTATCCATTATTCAATTAGTTAGTTGCAGCCCTATTTGTATATGTTAACGTGCCAACAAAAGAATTGCTTATTTATATGAATATTTTTCTCGGCATACTTGGTTTGGGCTGATGAGGGAATATATACACATGAAGGGTGGTAACAGGTGCCTGAGATGCTAGTTCTCAACTTCTATGGTGGAAGTGGTCTTAGGTGCAGAACAAAGAGCATGGAATAAAAGGAACTGTATCCATCATTGCAGGAAGTGTAAAT